TTTGTGTATACTCTGTCTCTCCATGTTCCTGTTCTTGTAAAGAGGAATCATTAATTGGAGAAACACAGGTTTGAGTCTGAGAGAAGCCACTTTGCTCAAGAAATGCCAGAGGTTAGGTCCATACCAACTCCACCAGTCCACCCTTCGCAAGATCAATAATAGTTGGAACCAGATTTCATTAATTCCCCTTTTTTGTTATTTTTTGTCCATGGTACAGTGCTAATCAATTAGTGTTGGTTATAGAGACCCAAAATTGATGGTATAGTGCACTATATTGGATATTTGCATTCTCCAAACAGGCACAAGAAGGGGGTGCACAGTTATAATTTGTGAAAATTTCATATCCTCACAAGTATCAAAAGAAATTTCAAATCTCCATGCTGTAATCATTTTCATGTCATCTTGAAGGGGTAAGTCCTTGCCCAATCTGTGGAGCAACAAGGTTTAGGGAATGCATGAAATAGGTTATATGGAATGCAGGATAACAATATTTCTAGCATCTGGTATGAAAGAACATTCTGGTTGAACCGGAGTGTTCAACTTGCACAAGTGTTTTTATAAGATATATTTGAATGATAGGACCACTATGTTTAGTAGTCTAAGAAGTGTTTAGTCTATCTTCCTGACCTATTTGTAAATTGTCATTTTTTAACTGTTTTTTTTAGGATTATGAACGATAACTACTATGTTTAGTAGTCTTTTTCACCATAGATGTACCCAAAACATCAGCAGTCAGCAATTAGCAGACTCAACACTCATAAGTCTATGAGTTCCTTTCTCTCTATCTGTTCAACTAATTAGAAATTGAGCTGATCAAAAGTGGAATAACTTAGCTTCAGGAGTGGGAAGTAAAAAAGGACCCACTTTCTTTCCTCTACAATGTATTAAGGTGCTGTCTATTAGTCGCTGAAACCCATCCAAGCCAAGCTCTGAATACAGTTTCTTCAGAGGGCCTAGCCCATTTCAGAGCCATCTCTACACTGGTTTCAAGCTCAAATATCATGAATGGCTCCTCAGTCAAGGCCCAAAGACTGTTTTCCCCAACTCCTAGAATTTTCCTTCTGACACCATTCTCCATAGAGGGCCTAGTCCGTTGCAGGTGCTTCGGCCACATCTCCAGCACTAGATGCCACTTCTGTAGCTTGGGCATGAATACTAGCCCCAGAAGAAACAATCTTTAGTCCTGCCCCTCCAAGTCGCCTGCCACCCAGCACCCAGACTTCACCCTTAAAGACAAACCCAGAAGCCATGAATCTTGGCTCATTCAACTGAGCCATACAAAGGAACACATATAACTTACAAAAAGAAAAAGAAAATTCCTACCTAATTAATTATCTATGCCATGAATATTTTGTAAAGTATTTGTTGAAATAATTTAGTTGTTGGTGTTAGGGTCTGTTTGGATTGTTAAAGCATTTTTTATTTCTATTTTTTTACTTCTGTTATGACTGTTAATGTACTTACTTATAGCAGGGGCACAAGGGTTTTTTCTCTTGTTATTTCTACCGCCCTATATATATTATAATTAAAACTGGCGCCACCAGCCCTGTTACATTGCAAATCTCTTCTCTTCTCTTCTCTCTTCTTTCTTCTTCTTCTCTTCTCTTCTCTCTTCTTTCTTCTTCTTCTCTTCTCTTCTCTCTTCTTTCTTCTTCTTCTCTTCTCTTCTCTTCCTCCTATTTCTGGCCGGCCATACTGTCAAGATGGTATCAGAGCAGGAATACTGACTAAGAGAACAAATCGAACAAACTTCACTGAGAGAACAGATCGAATAGACTTGCTGAATCTGAGCGGAATAGAGATCTAAATCTGGACTGTGGAAAACAGATCTAGAACTGGTACAGTTCTTCCATTTTTTTTCTTTACTATCCTTGGTTGTGTACCAAGTGAAAAACCCAATGAATCTGGGCTGTTGAATGTTGTCAAACTTTTATACCTCTGTTTTTTTGTGATCGTGTGATCCTGTTCATGTGTTAAGGCGACTGTAGGTCAAGGATGACCTGTCATCTCAATTATTTGACTTGATTATAAGTGTTAAGGATTTCTCCTGCTGATTAATGGTTTTAGACATTCTAGAAGGCTGGTAGGTTAGGACTGTTAAACCGTACAGATCTGAAATCTGCCAAATATTGCCTCTGTTTTGTCCTGATATTAGTACTATTTGTGCTCAAGCTATTGTCAAACCCAAGTGTGTTGGTGTGGACTGAGTGGAGCATTTTTTTTGTTGAGTAAGGAGGGGCCATAAGTCCGGTGTTTGGGACTAATTATCTGTTTTGACTATGTCRCCTGAGAATTTTGCTACTTCAGAAATTTCAGTGAGCCACAATGGAGTGACTGGAGGAATGGATATGAGTTTTCCCATGGCTGTTATTCCCTTTGATGGTCTGAACTACCTTGAGTGGTCTAGGGGAATAAAACTCTACATCACTGCTAGGGGGAAAATAGGATACAACAATGGGAGAGTGAAGGAACCGAAGTACGGAAGTGCTGAATATGATAGGTGGAACCAAGAGAATAGTATGGTGATGTTTTGGCTCTTGGTTTCCATGCTGCCACAAGTAAGAAAGACCTTTATGTGGGATGAGACTGCTTGTGAGATATGGGAACAAGTGAAATCCACCTATTCAGAGCAGAGACACTATGCCAAGATATAGCAGTTGAATCCTCCAATTGCAAGCAGGGAGAGAGGAGTCTTTCGATGTACTATTCTGATTTGACATCGATATGGAAAGAACTTGATCACTATCAGAATGTGAATTGAAAGTGTGATGAAGATGCAAAGGCATATAAGTCACTTGTATCTCAGCAACGAGTCTTTGCCTTCCTCCTAGGGCTGAATCCTTCGTATCAGTCCATCAGGGTGTAGATCTTGGGTAGTAAAGACCTTCCATCTGTTCAGGAGGTGTATGCCTTAGTGTAGTCAGAAGAGAGTAGAAGAAGTGTGATGAATTGTGTAGAAGGGGAGTCAGTTGCCCTAGTTGTTTGGGAAAACTCATACAAATGTCGGAGGTGGTTTTAAAAAGGGCGACTCTCAGAAAAAAATAGATGATAAGAGTAAACATTGGTGCACTCACTGCTAGAAGACACGACACACGAAAGATACATGTTGGGATCTCCATGGAAAACCTAAATGGTCACAGGATTTGGGTAAGAATTTAACACCTGATCAGAGCAAGAAACCAAGCCAACAGAATCAGAAAAAGTATAACTCAGCTAATATGGCATCGACAAAGACTAGTCCTTTGATAACTCAGGAGAGGCATCCCAGTTCTAACCCTAAGGAAGAAATTATCAACTCCTTTCGTGAACATTTAGACTTGTATGGTAGGACTCTCCGCCAGATGGATTCTAGTCCTACTCCCTCTACCTCGTTTGCGTTTACATCAGGTAATGYTGCCACAACATTCCATGTGTCATCTCATACCACTGATTCTCCTTGGGTTATCGATTCTGGAGCCTCAAACCACATGACCGGTAAGTCAAATTTATTTCAGACATATAACCCTCTCTCTGGGAGAGATAAGGTAAGACTAGCTGATGGTTCTTTTTCTACCATAGCTGGCCGAGGTACCATCCCTCTCTCACTTGGCCTTACCCTTTCTAATGCATTGCATGTTCTGAAATTACCTATTAATTTGCTGCCCATTAGTAGTATAACTCATTCCTTGAACTGTTCAGTCACTTTTTTTCTGTCTTCATGTGTGTTTCAGGATTTGGCCTCGGGGAAGACGATTGGTAGAGGAAGCATGGTGGATGGTCTCTACGTGTTGGAGAATAAATCTGGTCTTGTGGCTACAGAGTCCTTGAGTTTGTCAAGTGAGAGTCAAGCCTATTTATGGCATAGTCTTCTAGGTCATCTTTCTTTTGAGTCATTACAAGTTATGTTTCCAAAGTTGTTTGAGTCCTTGTCAGTGAGTCAGTTATAGTGTCAGACATGTCAATTGAGTAAGCATTGTACAAGTTCTTTACCTTTACGAAATAAAATATCTGAATTTCCATTTCATATTGTTTATTCTGATGTTTGGGGCCCTGTTACTCTACCTACTGATGCTGGATATAAGTACTTCATTACCTTGATTGATGACTATTCTAGATACACCTGGGTTTACCCTATGCGATCTCGAGATGAAGTGCCAAAAATTGTGAAAGATTTTCAACGCATGGTGTTCACTCGGTTCCAAACAGAAATCCATATCTTCCGGTCGGACAATGCGAAGGAATACTTCCATAGTGATCTCACGGAGTTTTTTGCTTCGAGTGGGTCACTTCAGCGAAGCTCTTATGCCAGGACACCCCAACAGAATGGTGTGGCTGAACGGAAGAATCGTCACCTTCTCGAAGTAGCTCGTGGCTTATTAATTCATATGAATGTGCCAAAATGCTTTTGGATGGATGTAGTCTTGTGTGCTACATATATCATCAACCGAATGCCCTCTCGGTTACTGGAGTATAAGGCCCCACATCAGCTTTTGTTTCCTACAACTCCGTTGTCCACCATTCCGATGCGTATTTTTGGGTGTCGTTGCTTTGTCCATAATCCGTCCCCTACTCGAGGTATGCTTGATCCTCGGGCTATTCCTTGTGTTTTTCTTGGTCACCCTTCATCTCAAAAGGGGTATTGCTGTTATGATCCTACCTCTCGCAAGTACTAAGTCTCCATTGATGTTTGAGCATCAACCTTTTTTCTCGGTTTCTCCTCAGGGGGAGAGTAGGGTTGAGGAGAAACAGACGACTCAAACTCAACTACCTCCTTTACCCGATCCTCCTCCATTCCGGGTTTTCATCGTCGCCATAAAAGCCAGCAGAGTTCAAGAGCCGTGGAACCTGACACTCAAACCTCCAGGATTCTGTGCCAAAGGCAGTGAACAAAAGGTGTGCAGGTTGAAGAAATCTTTATATGGGTTGAAACAATCACCTCGGGCTTGGTTTAGTAAGTTCAATTTAGTAGTTCAACAGATGGGGTTCAAACAATGCCAGTTAGATCACACTCTATTTGCGAAAAGAGGTGAAGGGAAAATTGCATATCTTATTGTGTATGCGGATGACATAGTAATTACAGGAGATTGGGAGGCTGAAATACAGAGACTAAAAAAATTCTTAGCCACTCAATTTGAGGTGAAAGATCTAGGCCCCTTACGTTATTTCCTTGGTATTGAAGTTACCCGTTCTCACAAGGGCATCTTTATTTCCCAATGGAAATATGTACTAGATCAGCTAGAAGATACARGCAAATTGGGAATAAAACCAATTGATTCACCAATTGAATCTTATCATCATCTGGGAGACAGTTAGGGAGAGTTTTTGAAAGATGTGAAGAAGTTCCAAAGACTCATGGGGAGACTTTTGTATTTGTCTATGACCAGGTCTGATATTGCCTATGCAGTGGGCGTCCTTAGTCAATTCATGCACAATCCTAGGATAACTCACTTTGAAGTTGTAGAGAGGGTCTTGAGATACCTCAAGAAGTTTTTCAGAGCTGGTTTGTTGTTCAAGAAACATAGTCACTTAAAGGTGGAAATAAATACTGATGCAGATTGGGCAGGAGCAATCAATGATAGGACGAAACAAAGTGTGGTGGCTAGATCTAGTGCTGAAGTAGAGTATAGAGCGATGGCTCATGGGGTTGCTGAAATCATGTGGATAAGAAATCTGTTAGGTGAACTGGGTTTTACAATGAGCAATCCTATGTCACTCTACTATGACAATAAAGCTGCCATCAATATTGCTGCTAATCTAGTCCTACATGATAGGACGAAACACATTGAAGTGGACAAACATTTTATTAGAGAGAAACTTGAAAACGGAGAAGTGTGTACTCCATATGTTAGCTCAAAAGAACAATTTGCAGACATCCTCCCCAAAATCTTCATCATGTGCGGCACAAAGATTTGTGTGACAAGCCTTTTGTGCTTATGAGATGTATGCTTCAACATGAATCTCTCTAGGCAATTCAAAATTTATGCAGTTCAGGTTGTGGTTATTTGGTGCYTGATCTGGCCTGACCTCAACAGGTTTAGCTTGGTAGCCCAGTTGATTGTTAGGTAGCCGACTCATACCCATGACATTAAGCAAATGAAGATATTACAAAGACAATATTAATTCATATGGATGATATTTCTATTCATTTGAGACCTATTTTGATGGGTCATAGATCTTTTGGATGTTAGATGGCACCCATTTCGTAATAAACAATTTGGTTGATGGTCTCATCCGATGTGACAAGTTTCATCATAATATGTTGCGGACTGTAAAGATGGAGTGCTGTTATCAACATTATTTTTCAGAGCCACCAGATTTAGAACTACTGTAAATGTCTGGTATCATATTGTTACCTGAAAACCAGGAAAGTAAATCATTAAAAGAAAAGCAGGAAAATAATGTGGTTGGTTACAGTTATATTTCATTTTTAGTGAATGTTTTCAGTTACTTTTGGGTTTGGCCACTAATAATATTTATATCTCAGTGACAAGTTTCACTAGAATAGTAGAAACTGTAACTACCACTGTCATAATGATAAAAAAAAGAAGTCTGGAATCTGCACTGTGGGGCCTGATATTTTGGTATTTTAAACCTTGGTTTCAAACTTTCAGGGGCATTTACAATCAAGTGATCAGCATATCATTGTCTTGCAGATCCATATAAACAAAGATCGGTAACTATTTTTTTTTTTTTTGCAAAAGACATGACATAAAATGGAATATGTTTCTCACCATCTGGGAATAGTACCTAAATTTTTTGCATATTCCCATATAACCTTAGTCAGTAAAACTGGATTACGTCAAGGACATTTGTTTCCTTAATTCTCTTTTAGCAACAGTTGATGAAACCGTTGTTAAAAGTTCCATACAGTTGCAAGTTTTGCAATAGTTATATTTTGTAACGATTATTCTACAGCAGCATCGGTTTTTGACACTAACCGTTGCTATAAGATTTTTATAGCAACCGTTAATGTAAAAAACCATGATAATTTAAATGAATTGTTAATATTTTAAGTGACGATTTTGTCTAAAACCGTTGCTATCAAGGGCGGAGCCATAGGGGGCCAACCATTGAAGTAGAGAGTGGGGGGGAGGGGAAAATTTATATAGAAAGTGAAGATTTTCTGAACCATAGGGGGGACATGGCTACCCTAGGTCCCCTGGCTCCGTTCCTGGTTGTTATCTCTACTTGTTCATCAATATTGCATATTTTATAGCCACGGCTAAAACCTTTGCTATAGATATTTGTAGCCATGACCAAAACCGTTGCTATAGATATTTGTAGCCACGACCTAAACCGTTGCTGTAGATATTTGTAGCAACAGTACAATATAAGTTTGTTGCAATAATTTTTTTTATTAGCAACGGTTAAAATCATGGCTATACGTATATTTTTAGCCATGGTGTACAATATCCGTGGCTATAGGTTTTAGCCATGCCAATATCCGCCATCGAGAAAAAACCGTGGCTAAATTGCTATAGCCATTAGCAACATTTTTTTGTATCTTTTTGCAATGGTTTTGTTCGTTTCAAATGTTGATTTTTCCTGTAGCRTATTCCTTATTAATATACATACATACACACATAACTCCCATTCTCTCTCATTAAATGTCAACTGAGGGATGGCTCAATTGGTATGTTAGCCAGTTCTTTCTAACATGGATGCAAATTCAATTCCTGCAACCACTTCTTTGGGTAAGGGGTTATCTGGGTGGTGCGTATCACCAAATACCTAAAATATTCTCTCATTAAATATTGTATTTAATTTTTTTCTTACCAATAAATCTACTATTTAAATCTATATCCAATATTTTTTTAATAAAGCCTATATTTTTTTGAGACCGACCAAAAATAAAACTGTTCTTTCATCCAAGTGAGAAGAAATTCAAAATTTCCAGATCAAATGGGTCAAGAATTTGGGCGTATCTCTAATACCTTTTATCATATTAAATGGTTTATTACTTAAGATAGTCTTGAACTATTTGAGAATTAGTTAAAGTTCCCCTAAGGTAGTAAGATATGATGTAATATGACACATATTACCCTTCCATTACTTGGCCATCACATTCCATTTACATGGGATATCATGTGACACTTTTAATTTTTGAAAACCCAATTTTGTCCTCAACACCAACCTTGCCCATTTCAGAGGTTGCCCATGAAATTTTCTAGAGCTAGAGTAGCGGCGAAATTCCCCTTCCCTCTCTTTCTTCCTAGTTTTCTTTATCTGCTTCTCCTTCCTTTTTATGGAGCTCATGGCCAAAGAGAAAGATAATAGGACCATGTTCCTTTTCCAATCATGCCCATGAAGAAATTTTTTTAAGACTGAGCCCCCTCAGTCTCCTGGCCCTAGTTGTTGTCATTTTTGGAGGAACGTCATCGTYGCATGAATCTCATCCTCGATGATCTCATGTACATCCTCGATTGAGTTCAAGCTTCCCTTTTCCTCTCAAGTGTCCACAAAAGAATCAAGATTGCCTATGTGAAAATCTAGAACGATGGTTAGTCTTGAGGGTAATACCTGATGGGCTAATCTTGCATCTACCCACAGTCATTGGGTTTTCATAAAGTGTCTGGACGTAGGGACCATTTACTATAAATGTTGGGCCCATTAAAAGCACATGGAGATGGACTCAAGTGTTCATTGTCTCCTACAGTGAATTCGACCAGGCCTTGCAACAAAGGCTAGGCTGAACCCATGTGGTTGATGTGTAGATCAATGTAAGGGTTCCACACCATACAAAGAGAACTAAATGGGCAGYTGGTTAAAAGTGTAAATGAGCACATAGGCTTAATGGGCCTAAAGCCCATTTTGAACTGGGCTTAAATTGGTTAATTAAAAGGAGGCAAGAATTATTTTACAATCTGATTAGGATTAGCTGAAACGATAAGATAAGTCTTATCCATTTAAGAGTCCAGATCCAAATATTAGATTTGGATCAAGAAACTGTCTTCTAATTAGATTAGGAGGTTGATCCAAAGAAGACTATAAATTGGGGGTGAATTCCTTAGTTTTACACACATCAATCTATAAAATTCTCCCATTGTTCTTGCTATCCCTACCCAGTTCGATCTCCACCTATGGAATTGATCAAGAAGAGTTCTTAATATTGTTTTTTGGCTGAAGAAACAATCTAAAGTCGTGCACACCAGCCCTTTACTCCATTCTTGTTAAAGAATTCGGTTCTTGTTGAAGAGTTGTCATGTTGATCTTGTTTCACTACACATTGTGTCATCTTTAGTGGAAACGGGTTTTTCGTTTTCTCCTTGGGCGTGAACACTTTCATTGGGAGTTACTGCTACTTCGTATTAGGTATATCCCTCTCCTCCCTTTGGTTTCAGATCTGGTTCGGTTTTGTTCCAAGATTGATCATTGAAAATGCAGTTTTCTAAAATAGAGAATGCGATTCCTAGATGGGAGAGAGAAATTTTTGAAAATTCGCCCAACCTTCCTGTAGTGTTTGGCCATCCATATGATGGATCTCTCATCCCTTCACCTTCCACCTTGACTCCACCCAGTTGGCAAGGATTATCTAACTATGACCTCGATTCTTGCACTACCTAGGATCAAGCAACATCAGATTGATGCCATCTATGGAACACACACAAAAATCCTTCCCAAAACCCTTTTATTTTCTGCACGATCAAGAACTGATCAAGATGCCGAGAAACAACTATGAGCGCTCAACAGGCCAATCCCCATCTCGGGAATCTTGCTCTCATTGCAGTCCTCCGTGCCACAAAACCTAGCAACCTCAGCACCAAGCCATAGTCGACCCTGCCTAGTTCCAAGGATGCAAGAAAAGGGCGACAAGATCTTGGCAATGATGCAGTCATTGGGATCTATGGCGCCGCCCGCTCGGACCAAACCCCCTCTTGCCCCAATGTGTACAAAGGCCGATCCTCGCCTCGAGGACCCCAAAATGCATCGATCGAACAAGGACGGGTTACGGCCTGATCGAGAAAAGCAAGATACCACAAGATCAGTTTCATCTGCTTGGTCCCGCGAGCTTGATAACCGCAGCAAACCCCACCAATGTACTCGGATCCCAACCAAAGAAAGGCTTGGTAAATGGACACCATATCAACTAGTCTCCATTGCCGAGTCCAGTTCGGTCAAGGACCACCCAGCACGGCCCAAGAAGGAAAGATCCGCACACGCCACAACTCCAGACGATAGAGATGTGGAAATTTGAGAACTTTGACAACGCTTGACTGAGTTGGAGYGCAGCCAAGCCCAGAGGAGCATGGCGCCATCCATAGTCCAGCCGGTGCAACCAAGTGGTCAGCCCGCCAAGGAGCCACCCTTCATCCAAGAGATCATGGACGAGCTTCCCCTACGAGATGGCAGGTGCCGCAATTCGAGAAGTACAATGGGAATATCGACCTTGGCGATCACATCGAAGCATTCAAAGCCCAGATGATGCTACATGGTTCATCCAAAGGCCTGATGTGCAAGGCTTCCATAGCAACTCTCAAAGGTCCGACCTTGATATGGTATTTGTCCTTTCCCCCGTGCTACATAGCATCATGGGAGCAACTAGAGAACCAATTTTTCGCTCAATTCACAGCAAGCCAAAGCACTAGAAAACTTTGGCTAGACTCAAGTGCGGCAAAGGAAGGGAGAATCCCTCAAAGATTACTTGGCCAGATTCAACACTAAGGCATTGTAGGTTTGGAACCTAAACCAGTTAGTAGCTGTCACAACCATTCAACATGATCTGCGGCCTTCTCCATTCAACTTCAGCATCTCTAAGAACCCCCCTCAAGCCATAGCTGTGTTGATGAGTCACGCCTAGAAGTATATCAATGCGGAGGAATCACAGGCATAGCTAAAAGACAAGGAAGAGAGGCCCGACAAAAAGAGAAGGGATACCGAGGATCACAGGATAGAGAGTGTGGACAGAGATCACAAGAGACTGGACCACCAGACCGACCGCAGACCAAGGACTCCTCCACTAACCTATAGGAAATTCATGCCGCTGAATACACCACGTCTAAAGTTTTGATGCAAATTCATGATCGTAGATATGTCCATTGGTCCGAGAAGATGAAGACCCAAGGCAACAAAAGGAACTGTGACAAATATTGTGAGTTCCACCATGACCATGACATGGACAATTGCTATGACCTACGCAACCACGTTGAGGACTTGATCAGGCAAGGTACCTCGGTGGGTTCATCAACAAAGACAAGAAGCCAGCAGAAGAAGAACCACACCCAGGAAATAGACCGCCACCTCGGGCCCCCTCAGTCAGTGTCATTGCCATAATATCAGGAGGGATCACCGCCGAAGGAGAAAGCAGCTCAGGCCACAAAAAGTATGCGTGGCTACTCAAGATCGACGATAGAGG